AGAAATTTCAATTTCATGTCTCTCATCAAATCAAAAAAAGAATCAGTCAAAATTGAAGACCATCTTGAAATACAGAAATACAAACAACTCAACATTGAATGCTTGAATCTCCAAAGATGCGTTTCAACTCCTTCAAATGATTGCCTACTCCTCTCCCACCAAACACACTGCCACAAACATTGAGGTAGTAGCACATATCAGATTGCTGCAAGTCCCATACTTACCCAAACCTTTCCAACTTGTAAAAAGCATGACTCAACGAAATCTTTTTCCCAATTCCAAACCCCTCTTAACTTCCTAACTGTAGCACTAAGTGGTCTTCTTTTTACACGTCCAAACCATCTTAATTAATTTTCTACTAATTTACCTCCAATTCGTGATACTTCAACCATTTCAAGAATGTGCTCATTTCTAATTATATCCTTTCTTATCATGCCGCATATACATCGAAATATTATTAATTTATTGTTTCTTTATCTGTCCAACATTTTGTCCCATAAAACATACCTGGTCTAATAGTCGTTTTATAGAACTTCCCTTTCAATCTTAATGGGATACGTTGATCACACAATATAATGGATGCAGTCCTCCATTTGTATGAGTCACCCCTTTTTTCTTTCCCTTTTTTTGCTAAGTAAAAATTAGGGGTGTTCAAATAATTCGTCAATCCGCTAAACAGAACCGATCTGATCCGATCTGTGCAGTTCGGTTTAGTTTTCTAGTATCGTGGTTCGGTGATGGATTGAAAAATTAGTAATCCGTAGTGACCAGATCAGTTAACGGATTAGGTGCTGAAAAAACCGAACCAATCCGTAAACCGATCTGTGGCCAATCCGTAGAACTAATATACATATATTATATAACATGTATAGTATACAGTATATGCATAATACATTATTGATGTTTTTGTTTTCTTTAATCATTAAGTTTTCAAAAGTTTTATTGTTTTAGGAACCCAAGATGCTTTACTGCTTTATGGCTTAGCGTTTTACACTTTTTAGTTTTTATATTCCTTTCATTTGCATGCATCTCTGGCCTCCTATCAAGTCTCATCTGATCCCACAAACCCACTGCTCTGCTCACAGTCTCTCATGGAAGGCCCAAGTTACCCAATACTCTCGGTCTCTTATGGAACCCAGACAAGCATCTCCAATTTACGTCGGCCGATCATTTCCTCTTCATCTACATCTAATTTCCAGTGAGTTCATAAGTTTTTCATTATTTTCTTCTATGAATTTTTGTTCTTCTCTTCTGGAAAAAAAATCTTGATTGCTCCATCTCGTCACTTAGTTTCAATTCTACCTTGTCATTCTCATAGCCCATTTAATAATATGTATAGTCTTTAGAGTTTCATGCATGACTCAGACGAAAATCAGTATTTCAAAACAGAGTTAACAATAACAGGTTCTCTTTTTCCCTTTAAATTCATGCATGACTTAGACGAAAATAGTATTTTGTCTCTAATTTCAGTTTTCTTAGTTGTGTTCTGTCAAGCCCAATGCGTGGGAACCGAACCAAACCAATCTCCGTTATTTCACGAATCGGTTTGGTTCGGATTGAGAGTCCCCACGGATCAGTTCGATTTCAGATTTAGCCAATCCGTAAGGACCGGATTGGTTTGAATTTTATCTAAAACCGAACCGATCCGATCCGTGATCAGCCCTAGTAAAAATATATTAGAAAGCATTCAAGAGCTCATCACTCCCTTTTTCATCGAACCCTGTTTGGTTTTAATTTATTGAGGAAAGATACGTCTACCAACTCGCAATAGCATAAACCCAACACCCAAAAATTAAAAAGATCTGAAAGTGATGATGGCAGTAGTTTTAGTCTATACAAATCCAAAACTTCATGCTTTTCCATCAGTACCAAAAGCTATTTGGGAGTTCTAATACAAGTGAAAGACCGGTGATATTGCATCTCAACGCTAAGGTGTGTAATGCTTGACAATCTAACTGATCGAGAAGCCGACAAATATTGTGAAGCACTTAATGAGATTGTTCTGCAACATTTATAATCATCTTTCTCCGACCAAACTTTAACACCGTCTATTAAGAGAAACACATTAGGATCTTTTGATACAATTGATATGGCAACATGTCGAATTACGTCATGCACTTAGACTAAGTTTTCATTTCTACCTTCCAACAACAAATAATATTTCTTGAGGGTACGAACCAACATATGTCCTTTGTCTCTTGCTTTTTCATTGTATCCAAGCCTTAAAGAAACCCCATTCCCACTACATACCTCACCTAGTCGTTGTCAATAGAAATCTCAGCATCTACTGTAAACAAATAGCAATGCAAAAAGCATGCCTGCAAATCTTTCTACTCCGGATATGTCTGACAGTTTTTCTGTCAATCCCTCAATTTTGTAAGGAAAGGACACACAACACAATCATTTGGTGCCACATGGAATGTCCCTCATCACTAACACGTGCCTAGACTTCTATAAATAGCACAGTGCTCTGATGAGAGAGGAGATTCAGGCCCCTCAGACATTTTCTTGCCTTTCGTTCTCTCCCCAGCCTACTCCATCTCCTTTCTCTTTCCGAATTTGGCTCAGTCATGTGTACGAGTCACCCTCATCACACCTTCTTTCACCGAACCCTATTTGATTTTACCCCTTCACATTTTGGCGACTCTTGCAAGGGTTGATCCCGCGATTGTTATCGCAAGGGATGCCACGAGGCAATGGTCGGATGCCATAAGATTCTTATTTTCCTTTTGAGAACCCCCATCTTTACACCTCTAAGTATTGCTTCAAATGTCTCACAATTTTTATGTTCGAGCTCCTGCAATTTCGGAAGACCTCTTGTAGTGGGAGGGGAGAAGATACTTGATTAATCCACATTGTGCAACTTCTACTACACTTTTTCTTTTCTTTTTTTGATAAGTTGCAACTTCTTAGTTTACCAAAAGAACCCAATGGACATGGTCCATGATGTTTTCTAAGTTGATGTTCCACGTTGTCACATTTCTTAACTTGAAGTGACTACAAGTCTAAAAAACACTCTTCGTCTCTTTCGTGAAGCACCTTCCTTAAACCTTCCAATATATGCAAATATAGTATTTCAGCATTCTCCATTAAAACATTAAGCTCAACCATCAAAGGAATAACCACGAGTCCCAAGATCTTTGTTTTCGAGTATTCACGATGCACTTGAAGAATTGAGGAATTCTCAAGGAGATTAAATTGAGACTAACAGAAAAATTGTGTTCATATAGAGTGGAGCTACAGCCATCTAAAGCAAACAGATTTGTATTCATGCTTTCTGCATTGCTGTTTGTTTCCAGAAGATGCTAAGATTTCTATTGACGATGAATTGGTGAGGCATGGAGTGGGAATGGCATTTTTTCGAGACTCGAATACAATGAAAAAGACAAGAGACAGGGCACATACGTTGGTTCGTACACTCAATAAATCTTATTTGTTGTTAAAAGGTAGAAATGAAAATTTAGTCAAAATGCATAACGTAATTCGAGATGTTGCCATATCAATTGCATCAAAAGATCTGAACGTGTTTCTGGTAAAAGATAGTGTCAAAAGATGATTATAAATATTGCACAACAATCTCATTAAGGTTTCCCACAATGTTTATCGGTTTTCCGAACAGTTAGATTACCGAAGGCTATGCACCTTGGTGTTGAGATGCAACGTCACCAATCTTTCACTATTACTAGAACTACCAAATAGCTTTTTTGATTGGATGGAAAAGCTTAAAGTTTCAAATTTGTATAGACTAAAACTACTACCATCATCACTTTCAAATTTGGTTAATCTTCAGGTGTTAGGTCAATGCTATTACGAGTTGGTGGACCTATATTTCCTAAAGAAATTAAAAAACCTAAAATACTAAAGATTGTTGATTATCTCAAATATAAATGGAAGGTCCAATAAATAGAACAGTTGCCTCATCCACATTGGTTGGATTTGAGAAATTGTTATCAAAAAGATATAATGTCTCTGTCGGGTGTCCTATCACGTCTATCCGACCTCAAGGAATTCTACCTTCTGTATAAGTTTGATAAGTGTGACAACATGGAACATCTACTTGGAAAAACTCATGGTACATGTTCATTGGGTTATTTTGGTAAACTAAGTGCATTAGAAGTTTCCTCCTTTACTCCCCTTTCTTTCCTTTCTCTTCTTCTCTTTCCTTTCCTTTCCTTTCTGTCTTCTCTTAACCACAACCCACCTCTTTACATAGGAGTTGTTAGATGGTTAGGTGTCACCTGCTAGTGACATATGCCACACCACACATGTATATGTTTTATTTTCCAACAGAACAATTTGTCAAAACAATCATCCATGTTCATTTGGAACACAAAATAGATTTTAAATTGTACTTTTACATTTCCATCCAATTTTCTTTTCATTCATGCCCAATGACTATTTTTCACGTATAACTTATTTGAATCAGTCTTTCTATAGGCCCTTGTTCAAGTCCGAGTCACTAAATAAAGAGAATAATAGAAGCGAGGAAGACAAAGGTTAGCACGTCAATAAAGACATGGCTTGCCTTAGTGGTAATGTTCAAGATTTGTCTTATTTTCAGTGAACTAGATGAAAAGAATGGAATGCTGCAACTTTCATTTGTTGTTTGCTAGAGAGATCCACTGATATTCTATAGAAAAAGGAGATTGATAATTTCCTGTGAAACTAATGAGATTGGTAATTTCATAATCTTAAGACAACATTTCCCATGAAAGATAAAACATGTAGACTGAGAATTTCAGAAAATTCAGCACCACCTTGAAGAATCCATTATCTTTTAAGCCCTTGTTGAGATAACGATGTCTTGGCAATTAAAACAATGAGGAAAAAATTTGTAGTTTACAGGAACTGGCATCATGTGGATAAGCTAATGACTCAAAGAAAAGGTAAGATCACTTTGAGAATAGATTTTAAAGGAAAATTATGTTTAAGAAGGACCAAAATTAATAGAAAAGTAAAAGTAAGATTAACAGAGAAAAAGTTATTAGTGAGTAGCTTGCCTGTACAAGTGAGGGCTTATACCGCAGCTTCAACTTTGGGAAAGCATGCCCATCTAAAGCTGGAGAAATCTGAACCAATACATCAGAAAATCTGTGGTCTTCTCTTAACCATTTAACATATGCAAGAGAATCTTTTGATGGCCCACTGTACTGCACACATTGAAGCACGTCAGAATAATACAAGGATATAAATGTATAGCATTCTACAATATGAGAACTACCCTGCAACAGATTTACATAATAACATCATTATTCAATAATTTGATTAGCATAATAACTACATCTCTCTTTACTTATCAAATAATAATAATAATAACTACATCTCTCCAGTGAATCTTGGAAGAATGCTTATCATGAGGAAGAGGGGGGGACAATAGAAAATCGAAAATAGAAAGAAGATAAAGACCAAACTCACTTCTGAAAGACTATCAACACGGTGAACGTATTCCTACAGTTGCTCAAGCGTGAGCATGGATATCAATTAAAAGAAAAATGAAAAAAAAAAAAAAAAAAAATTAAATAATAATAATAAATAAATCTAAATGTTACAGAAAAAATAAAAATAAAAATTAAGACAGAAAAAGAAAAGAGCATTCCTGAATACTCTATGGAAACCATCTTAATAGCCACACTACTAAAAGTTATCTCCATCCTCTACGAGACTGTTTTAGACTATAAAATGCCTTAAGGAATCTGCACAAAATGTGTGTTTCTTAAGTAACATTTCCGATATAATACCTCACACACACTTCTGACTCCTCACTTCCTCACAAAAATATGTTGACAGTACAACACCATATAAATCTGGAAATCTTTTGGTCTACAAGTCACTTTTATCCTAGGATTTACAACAAAATGTAACTGCATAAATAATTTAGTATTATATATGAAAAAGTGGACATTTAAAATTCCATTCCTCCTCATCATTGTAGTATAATTATATAAAAGTGTTTCTAGGATTACAGAAAAGAGAAGAGAAGAGAAGAGAGAGATTGCAGAATGAAATCTGACGGCTTTGTATTTCCTACACCCTCTCTCTTATTTATATTAAGACAATCAAAATTATAGTAAGGCCCTTAATAACAAGCAATATTACAATAATGCCTAACAAGATAATAAAGCAATCTAACACTCCCCCTCAAGCTGGAGCATACAGATTAAACATGCCCAGCTTGAAACACAATCACTAAAATGAACCACCAAACTAATGACTTCGTAAGAATATCAGCAAATTGATCATCGGGACAAATATAAGGAGTAACAATTTGTTTCCGCATTAGCAGATCTCAAAAAAAATGAAGTCCCCATAACCGACCACATCAACAAAATAGAAGGGAAAATAACATATAAAAATATACCATATGAATAGACTACTCCAACCCACACCATCCACAAAAAGTACTCAAGGAACGTAGAAGTGACCTCTAACTTGCTCCATAGGTAAGCTCCCAACTTAGCCAAAGCATTAGCTCAGACCATCTAATCTCCAGTTCTGAAACTTCGAGTAACTCAATATCTCTCACATCAAATGGTCATATGCCACAAGCCCATTGAACACTGACTTACCCATCTAACCGCAACGCAAAATCTCCATTTTTTCAACAATGACATTGGCCCCGTAACCTGAGCTACTTTGAGACCCTCCAAGAATTGCACAATCACCACATAACTCGACCATTTACCTCCTTGTGGGAAAAAACAAATGTCTCATGTGGCAGCCCCTCTGTAACTGATGCCAAAAATTAGGTTTGTAACAGTCTACCCCTCACAGCGCCCTCAATAAATGGAGGTTCCACAAGGTAACAGTCTTGAAAAAAGGTAGAATGTATGTCAATTCAAGAGTGTAAGGAAGTTTTGAGTTTAAGTCTGCAATAATTGCACGTCGCACCCTTTGTTTACTTCCAATTTTGAAACTTAAAACTAAAGAGCATTTATTGAGTTCAAGCAGGATCACACAGATATACTCAACAAGACAAGTATACAGGCATGCATCCACTCACAAGCATACCAAAGTACGCACAAGAGAATTATATTGTGTGAGATGCTGCCTACACTATTAAAAAAAATCCGTACATGCATAAAATAGAGGTAGAAAAAAAAAAGGGCGGGAAGAATAACCATACCTGTGCATTAATCCCTTGCTCATTCAGATATATTCGACCATGTATGTCAAGACCCTAGTAATTTATCATGAAAAGACAGATAGCAGCAGGTCAGCAATTCTAAACCATTCGTGTATCGTTATTATAAAGTTTTTGGATCTTAATGAATATAAGCAAATTACATGCATATTAGATACATACCCTATGTTAATGTGTCAGAGCAAAGTAATGTTTCTGATAACCCCAAGGTTTAAAGCCAAGGGCAACTTGGTAATTTTGATGACAACCTATTAATATGAGAATTTGATAGTCTACTTGAGAGTGGTGATTTTCAAGAGATTCTATAAACTCAAGTACAAAGTGAATTGATGGAAATAATGCTCAAGTTCAAATATGGATCAAGTTCATGGAGATGAAACTAAAAGTAATATCAGTTCAAGATAATGAAGCTAAGGGGTTGGTGAGAGCAAGAATCTTGTAAAGTAATATATGTCTCATGTTGATTCAAAGCTCAACCCCTATGATTTAAAAAATGAAGGACCTAGGCTTTAAAGTGAAATCAAATATTTTTAAGGTCCCTAAGAAAAATGACTAAGCCCATGTACTTAAACGTTTTTCAATGAAAAAGAACAAAAGAGTCATTTGGTGTCACTTCTTTTCACTTCAGTGCCAAAACTTTACAAATTCAAAAATTCAAAGTGAACTAGAAGTCTTCACCATGTGACGGGCCTAGGCATTGTAAGTGCCAAAGTATTGGCCATAAGACTTTTACATGTTTTCACAAGACATCTTCCCTTTGTAGAGTTGGCAAAGAACTAAGAACTCTGAAATCTCCAAAAGTGCCAACAAGATGTCTACATGTTTCAACAAGATGTCTTCCCCTTGTAGAATCGGCAAAGAGCGAGAGCTCTGAAATCTCAGAAAATGCCAACAAAATATCTTCTTGTAAAGACAAGACGTATACAAGGGAATGGAACAAGAACACACCAGGACAGACTTAAAAGGACTCAACGTCTGGTTAAAAGCTCAAGACGTCTTCTCATGTCGCGCTTTTACAGCCTTGTTTCCAAATAGTCTCACAAGTACTCTAACGGCTAGAATTTCAACTGAGCTTTCATTGTAAAAAGAGGGGCACCATTGTTGTGTTGTAACTGATATATATAGACATATATACATACATACATATATATATATATATATATATATATATATATATATATATATCTTTGAGAGAGATAGAATAGAAGATTGGTGTAACCTTCTTGAAGTCTAGGTGGGTGTTTCTCAGGTCGTCTTCCACATGTGAAGGGAGACTTCCACATGTGAAGGGAGACTGTAATGGTTTCTTCTCCACCCGTGAAGGAGAAGCAAGATAGTGATTTGGAAATCCTCAAGAGGTGCTCTTGAGGCGAAGACGTGGGCAGGGTAGCCGAACCTCATAAATCTTGGTGTTCTTGAGTTTGCATCTCTCTAACTCTATCTCCTTATCTTTTGCGTTTTGCATTCTCTGTATTGTTCGCATCTGCTACATATCACTGTTATAATCTGTTTGCACACCAAGAACTGAGCTAAATCGAAAAGCCATTAAGCTTGCCAAAAGACCCAATTCAACCCACCCCCCCTCCCCCTGTTTCATTGTTTGGGCAACATTGCTGAGAATATTGCAACATAGAGTTCTAATTTAAAGTTGAAGTCTCTGGTCATTTTTTACAATCTCATATTATTTTCATGCTCTCCATACATTTTCACAAGTTTCCACAGTGTCAAGCTCATCAAATTAGATGCATCCATCAGCATATACATATTTTGGAGTTTGGAATTTTTTGTTCTAAGCTTAAGTGTGCGTTTGCTGTGTAGGATTGGAATTGATTAAGAATTCCAATTATATGAATTAGAATTTAATGAATCACAATCCTAATAGATGGAATTTTGCTGGTTGGAACAATCTTGGAATTCATTTGGGTTTATATTAAAAAGTCCAACTTTCTTCTTTAGATAAACTATTAACTTCGAATTGAACTTCAAAATAATTAGTATACAAAAAGAAAGAAAAAATCCATTCCGAAAAAAGAAAAATAAAGAAGAGAAGAAGAAATACACGATCAGTATCTATGCATATTAAACAATGTTCCTGCTCCCTTTCCTTTTCCCATTTTTCATTTTTTTGTTCCTAGATAGAGTACTAGAACACACGTCAATTCCATTACTATTGACTAACAATACTACACGTGTGTTTCTACCCATGCATATTCAGCCTATATTTATTAAGAAAATTTCCATATATGATTTTTTTTAAAGTAAAGTATTCATTGAAAGGTGCTCAAAAGGGGAGCGCATCTCATTTACAACTGCACCAAGACCAAAAGAATCACTATACCCTCAAGCTATCCAAAAAAATACATGAGATCCTCCACAAATTTACAATACCAACCATTCTCAAAAAAATTTAATAATAATAAGGAACCAAGTATATAATAGGATTTGAATGCCCAAATAGGAGTCTCCTCCCTTTCAAAGGATCTCATATTCCTCTCTTGCCATAAACCACACCACATGCAAAGGAGAGCAACCCCCTCCAAGCATCTCAACCTTACTTCCTCGCTACACACCCTCTCCAAGCTTCAAGCACGCTCCTTGTGGAAAACGGCATGAACCAACTCACTCCAAACAGGGCAAGAAGCAAATCCCATCCCTCCCTAGCCACTGGACATGCAAGAGGAGGTGATTCACTGACTCCTCATCCCTCTTGCACATGCAATACCAATTGGCAATAATCTGCCTTCTTCTCCACAAGTTATCGATCGTCAATCCGCTCCAGGACTATCGTCCATCCGAAGAAAGCCACCTTAACCAGGACTTTTGTGTGCCAAATGGCCTTCCAAGAAAAAGAAAGGCCCTAAAAATCCACCAATCTCCTATAGAAAAAGTGGACCTCAAATTTTCCGTGAGTAGCCGCCACCCAAATCTACTCATCCTCTCCCTTTCCACCTATCTGCTAACTATGCGACAAAGCCAAGAATTGAGCAAAGTCCTCCACTTCCTAATCCTGAAGATGCTACACAAACTAAATGTCCCAGAACAATCTCCCGCTATCAAGGCGATAGCTATCTGCCACTGTAGATGACCTGTTGAATGCAATCCTAAAGAGACTTGGGAAAGCACCCGATATAGTCTCCCTCCACGCCATTCATCCAGCCAAAACAGAATATGCCTCCCACTCTTTACTCTAAACCAAATATGTTTGAAAAATTCATCACATCCCTTCCTGATGAACTTCCACACCCCCACTCCTGCCGAGAATCTCACCTCAAGAAGCACCACCAGCCTTTACCTTCCCCGAAGTTACAACATGTAAAATTTAGGGTAAGAAATTAGCATTAGGGTTAGAGGAGGAGAGAAGAAGAAAAAGGATAATAAATTTGAAGATCGAGTGTGAGAGAGGGGGATTTCTCATAATAATCTTCCATGAGGGTTGGTCAACCGATGAAAGAATTTCATATTCCTGTCCTCTTCCTCAAGCCACAAAACCCTAGATCTGTCTACAGAACACTTCTTCCCTCACTGCAATCTCTCCAATCGTTGCATTGCGTTCCTCCCACCTACAACTCTAAACATGAAAAGCCCTAACGCCCTTTCTTTGCAATCCAACTCTGAGATTTTTGTCCTTACTCTGTCCTTCTACCATTCCAGGTTGCCGAACAACCACAATTCCACTTCTTGATATTCACTTTCAACATACAAAACTTGTTAACTAAAGTAAAACTGACCCCTCACAATCATAGCCATCTAACAGATGCTTCAACCTGTTTTTAAATCAACAACTCAAAGCCACGTATTCAAATATGAATAAAGATTACCCTTACCTCAACATCCAACAATACTGGATTTTGATCCAACACTGGTCTAACCATATCCACCTACGCAACCATCAGGAAATTTCTCTTCCCAATCCCTGACACTAAGAATTTGTCCAGAGAAAAAATAGTAGGGTCTTATCTACCAATAGACCATGTAAAGGTAGCACCTTCTGGCAATAAATCAATCGGCTGTTGAGCATCAGTGAACTCAGAAAACCCCGCAGTCCACTAACCTCTGATAGATTTCTCAATGGGAAACCCAACCACATCATAATCCCCTCCAATGTACTAGGACAAATCCCACTTCTGTGAACATATGTAATCTCCTCCGACAAGAAGCCCCTCTCCACATCTTCAAGGGCAATAAACCCCAGAGAATATCAATACAGCAGTCGTCCTTCAATGAAAAGAGACAAGTGACTGCAAATCTCCCACTTTCTACATCTACCTTAGATGCCCATTGCTTATCTAACTGGATCAAAATACCCCTACAAAACCCTCAACATCAAGGGCCACCTATCTACAAAAAGACCACCCATAGAATCCTAACAATCCCATCCAAGCCCCCCGGATGGTAAGAAGATGATAAAGTTTTGGGGTGCAAACTATTTGGACTCTTGCAAGCACGCCACCTGGGCACCCCACTTTCGCAAGGACACCACCTTCCTTTTGCAAAGGTCATTGAGACCCTAGACATTCCACCGCACGATTCGGAGCTTCATATGCACACACGGCACTCCCCTCCCCCTTCCTTCCTCCTCTACCCCTCTTCCTTTCCTTCCCACTCCTACTTTCATAGTTCACATACGAGATCAAATTTCGTAGCTCTTTCTCACCCCTCCATGTGCTCATCTTCCATCTCAAGCGCCTGCTATTACTTAGAGATTTTCCACTCATTTTCAATGGACATAAAAAGATTTTGGGCCAGTTCTTCACTCCCTTCTTTAGTCAGCCCCAAGTTCTTGCTCACATCCTCAACATTCCCCATCACCCAATCCTCAATTATATCCTCCACATGCTACAACATCAAGTTGTTGTCCACGTGGCCCCATGACTGCCAGCAGTTGTACAAGGCCCATTTGAGCACTATCAACTTCTTCCCTGCCCCCTTCCTACCCTACCGCCCTTCATCTATGAACTCTGCCACTTAAAATCACAGACAACCTTTCTTGGCTTCGACCCTCACAACATCATCTTTTCTCCGATTCTCCCCCCCTCCCCCCCCCCCCCCCCACTTGCCACCACTCAACTTTCAGTATCAGAGAGATCTCATCTCTGCCAATTAGGGAAGCCGTCACCAGTTGTCTTCCAGCAGTATAAATTTTGAAACTGAGCCGCCATCTTTCACTTTAAGAACAATCTTTCCCATGCCCACTCTCTCATCAACCTCCAGCTTCAAGGGTGCGCACACATCACCTACGCGGGTAGAATACAGAATTTTTCCAACTCTTAACCCCTTCTCGTTTCCTAATGAATTTTAACCTTTTTTTGGGACAAGTCTAATGAATTTGTTTCATGTGATACACACCCACGAAACGGAATTTTCTAAAAACTGATATTTCACATAGATGTACATACATAAAGAGCAGAAAACACTAAAAAGTAACCAATGCGACATGTCAAGAGGGAACATACAGATATAACCTGGAAGTAACAGAACCCACTGAATTTTACTTTCTGAAACATGTACATTATTAGTACTTTTTTTAAAGAGCGTACTTTGCGAAGTATATACACACAAACACACACACATAGACATGTATATATATAGAGAGAGAAGGGCATTAACACGAAATTTAGAAAAGAGGGAATGGGAATAGATAGAACCTGCAAGAATGAGAGGTGTTTGGAGACCTCGTCTTCTGGGTCTTTGATGAAGACAAAATGGTAGAAATTCACAACTATAAAACAGTTGTCATCAACATCAAAGCCATCTTCTGCTTGAGGAGAAGATGATGGTACACAACCACAACCGAAACTTTCGTCACACGCATTCCCATAAAAATTACGCCTCTTCAATTGAGACAAAGACCTGTTCCTGTTGGTTCTTTTTGGTAGTATGAAAATCGGAGTAGAAAAGGACCAAGTTGGGAACTGGAAGAGCGAAGAAGTAGTAGTAGGCTTGTAGAGGGGAGCAAGTGTGAAACCGGTTACAATTGCACAACCCCTCATCTTCTTATCCTCCGCATCTCTCTTCACTCCATTTCCCTCTAAACGTTATCGATTGATTTCTTGTTTTAAGGCAGGCAGGGCTTTTTTATGCGAGAGATGTCACGTGTTCTGTTTGGAGGATGAGTTTTTCTTTTTTCTTTTTCTTTTTCTTTTTCTTTTTCGATGCCTGAGGCTGAGCTTCGTTGTGGAGACAGTAAAATAAATACTGTAGTAATTTACGCGTACCTCGCTTATGCTGTGTTTCGCACGGTGGTGAGTTTGAAGGAAAATGATAACATTAGTTATGAGCGAAAGAAAAGAAAAAGAAAGATAATTTTAATCTCCCGTTGTGTTCCTGTTGTGCTTGGTTGATTACTGTAGTAAATTACGCGCACCTCGCTTAGGCTGTGTTTCGTACAGTGGATTTGAAGGAAAATGATAACATTAGTTATGAGCGAAAGAAAAGGAAAAGAAGGATAATTTTAATCTCCTGTTGTGTTCTTATTGTGCTTGGTTGATTATTGAAAGAAAAGAAAGAGAAGAATAATAATCATGTTTTGGAAAAGAAAGGAAAAAAAAAGAAAGAGGATTATCTTAATAAATTGATTATTATACCTTTTTATATTTTAAAAGATAAATAAATAAATAAATATATATATACACTCATGTACCTTTGGCAAGCCCACAGATGATTGACCACATAAATAGAAAAAAAAATTTAGGGCAAATCATTTCAGCCTCCCCAATCTCGCCTCCATCTTTATTCTCGTTCTCAACTCTGAACTTGCCTTCTCTCTCTCTCTTTCTCTTTCTCTCTCTGCACTACAAGAATCAGAAGTTCAAAACCCATATATTTCAGTTTATCTATCTGTCTGTAAGAATCAAAAGTTCAAAACCCGTATCGGTATATAATTTCAGATTGTTCAGAAAATCAAAACCCATATATTTTAATTTCCATTGCCGCTGGAACATCTATTTGCAAGAATCAAAAAGTTCAAAACCCTTATCGGTATATCATTTCAGATTGTTCAGAAAATCAAAACCCATATCTTTCAATTTCCATCGCCACTGTTCCAGTTCGGGTTCGCCATTCGCAAGCTTCAGCCGCTGGCCCACCGTCTCTCACTCTCTCTGCAACTGCTAACTTGTATGTATATGTAATCTTAAGGGCAAATTTGGCATCACAAATAATATATCAACCCTCTCGTTCACTTTCCTTCATTTTCCTCCCATTTTTGGGAGGATAAGTAAAATACTGTTCAAGCTTTAACATAACCCTCCAAAACATTCCCTTTCTTTCCAACAATTTTTGTCAAACACAAATTTTTAATCACCCTCTATCACATTCCCTTCCCTTCCCTCCCTTTTTCATTGCACCAAACTGACCCTTAAGGTATGAGTAAATATCACCCTAATGTTTATTACGCTAACATCCCCTAAACCTATTTTTCCAATAAAAAAGTGATTTTTAATGTGAAAAGTCATTTATGTCTTTAAATTTAATAATATATTATATTGTATATACGATAAATGACAGATTAGTGTTTATCCAATTAAGTGAATTTGATAATATAATTTGAATATCATTAAAAATAGTAACCTCCACTTAAAATGAGGTTCAAAAAGATATTAAAAATATATATTTAATTTATTTTTTAATTACCACTTACAAACTTGAGCACATTCAATACTTAAATTTTTCAGTACTTAATTTTTAATTTTATTAAATAGTATCAAAAAGTTCGTTACACCCTTAATTTTCCTCTGCACTACCACTCTCCCCTCTTTATTCTTTGTTCTTTCTTCCTTTGTTTCTCTTACCTCCCCAACTACTCCCACCATCAACACCTTCCTCAATAACTGTCTCTCTCAACCTTCTCCCACCGCCACACCTTTGGTCTTTTTCTTTAACCGTCGTTATCTCCAACAGCCATCGCTGCTACCTCTCTCTTTCAACCTCCTCCTCCAACCCAAACCCTTAACCTCCTCCTACCGCCACCGTCATCGCCATCTCCTTCCACTACCATAGCAACCCTCACTCTCTTTTCTCTCCTCAATCAAAGTTGAGATCTCAAATCTTCCAAGTCACCACCAGGACGAGGACAACAGGGGCATTTTGAATCTCATACAACGTGTTGAAATAATGAGACAAATTGTCGTATAGACCACAAGGTGTTCGGATTCCCTTGTAAGATAGAAGTAGCCAAATTTTGTAGACTCTAATTTAAAGAATTAAAGATGATGAGACTAGGCTATTTAAACCAATGCAGTTTTATACCCAAGGGGAATAGCAATATTGGTAGAGATCCTGTAGGTAAGTCCTTAAAGTCTTGCTTTCGAACCGCACTCCTGACTTAAATGGTGCTTACTCATATGCCTCCTGGGAAGACGGTTGGAGTGGCACCGGATCAAAAACTGATATAGCTCTGATACCAATTGTAACAGACCAGGTGCTTCGCGAGTCAACCCAAGAATTTAAGCCATTAGGTGGAGCTATCACCCAACCCATTTACGCCCATTTCACTTCCCACCTGGATCCAATGTGGATAAGACTCCCTTTGTAACAGTTGCCAGCACCAACTCACACACACAACACGTATCCATAAATATATATGCATAGTACATAGATGACAAAGCTTTCTTTACAAGCTTTTGAGAGTTGGACCGTTTTAGTAATCAAGAATCTAAGAAGCACGAGCATAGCAATACGACAAATTATCAAAATAAGACATAGATAATATAAGGATACGACAATAAAATAATACCCTGTATAATATATATTTATTGTACATAAAAATTTAATTTTTAGTTAAATTATAATTTATATTCATAAACATAAGTAATTTAAATTAGGCCCGCTCAGAAGCCCAACTTCTTTTGCAAAATGTAGAAGTTGAGTAGCCCAAATTTTGGAGTATCTACATATCTAAAAGTTACCTCTTCTATCCAAATGTGGTGCTAAAAGAAAAGGAAGAAGAAGACAAGATTTTGATCCCCTATATTCCTCACTCTCTTTCTTATCACCTCTCTGTAGTCTGTGTCTGTTACTTTGTCTCTCTTTCAGACGCCATCTCTTTCTATTCACCTCTCCCTTCTTCACTATCTCTTTAAATCATGGCTCTCTTTAAATGTGGTGGTAAAAGAAGAAGAAGAAGATAAGATTTTGATTCCATGTATTCCTATTTCTTTCTTATCACCTCTCTGTACTATATATATGTTACTTTCTCTTTCTTTCAAACGACGTCACTTTCTCTTCACCTCTCGCTTGTTCACTATCTCTTTGAATCGTGGCTCACTTAAATTTCTCTGTTCAAATATTTAGATATCTCCAATTTTATACATCCTTTTATATGGATACACACACACACACACAAATATATATATATATATGTATAACGTCGATCTGCATCTTCGGCCTAAAAAAAAAAACCTCAAAACAGTTGTTAGCGTGTCCCTTGTATCCCCAAGGTGTCCCATGGTGCGTCCAACATAAAAAATAAATAAATAATTGGATACTTCCAGTAGCATGTCAGACATGTGTCCCAAAAAGTTTTGAAGATTAATGAAAATCTTAGGGGTTAATGAAATATAAAGGATATTAGTAAGGATTCTGCGGGTTTGAATAATACATGGGGAGTAAAGCTAACTTTACGTTTAAAACTATTGTTCCATGTTATGTTTAAATTTGTTAAATATTCGTTGTTCTTTTTTTTTTTTTTTTTTTTATGTTTGTTTGACATATTAGGTTGCTATAGAAATTAGAATAGTATCACTTCTCTATTGGATTATATAAGCTTACCCCTATATTTGTTCCTTTCTCAGATTCCGTCCAAAGTGGAGGCTAGAGGTTGACTGAATGCTTGAGGCTTTATGCTTTCTACTCTCATACTTGCTTGACTCACGTGCTTAGAAGTATGAGAGCTTTTTGTGTGTTTTGCTGTGTATATATTAACTTTTAAATTTGAAATAGTTGGTATTGTAAAATAAAAAGGCTTGTAAATTTCATATATAAATTTTATACGTTTGAAAATGCTATGTATATTAGAACTTAACCATGTGGTGTTGTGCTTAGGAGCCGGGAATGAAATATTTTTTATTTTAAGAATTTTGAATACAACATTTGGATATGTTGGTTTTCGAAAATCAAGATTTAATACAGGCTCCTATTACTACCAGAAGTTCAAAATTATGTAAGCATATTGTTGAAATTTTCACCTAACATATGTTCTCAATGAAATGGATTTTAAGAAATTTGAAATGTGAACTTTTCATGCCTGGGATTTTCCTTCACCCAATCAAGCTTATCCACCATATGGAGGCCAGCTGTCGTGGAAGAAAGAAATCACGAACCTAAAAATACAATGGGGGTGGCTACGTGACAAGGGTCGTTTGCATATGCCAAAATATGTGAATATGAGAGTGGTTCAAGAAAAGCCTTTTTGGTCAAATTTAAATTTATAAAAATCACTACTACTAATGTAGCAAGAGTGAGTAAGGATCGTCCCAAGGGATTTGTAAGGTACTACGGAATCAAAATTGGATTAGTAGGTCGAATGATCAAAGTGAGTGGTTTGTTGGTTGAATTAAGCTATGATTCAATTAAAAGCAATGCAACGTAGAACAAACTAAAATAAGCGAGGTGTAGAGAATGAGAGAGGGGCCTTAGGACATAGAGTTCACCACTAGGTTTTATCTCACTAAACATCTAATATTTGTCAATTTAGGGGGATTCCAAGTTGTAAATCAAATGTGTGTGCCATTGATTAAAATACTAAGCATAGATGGCAAAATAAGCATACATTGTCTAATCAATTTTGTGAGTAGCGCTACTTATCAAATTAAGCCATTAAGCATTCAATAAACCCACAATTAATACACATAAAAATCTAGAGAAATACATAGTGACAAGGAATTTAAACATGGATCATCAAACAATAAGAATGAATTATCTACTTATCTAAGAAATTAAAACAACTACACTACAATTATACTAGTGACAAGGAAATTAAACTAATTAAATTAATGAGGTAGCACAATCCATCAAGAAATAAGCATAATCCATCAAATAAAATACAAGAGTAATCAATTTAGCACC